GGGGGGGGGGGGGGGGAAGAGCTGGTTAATTTGAAGCTTATGTATTTTCTCATATGAAGCCACAGCAAAACATTTCGTTGTCTTCGCTGAAAACAGGCAGTTCCAAGTACAAGTGGGATGTTCCAGGAAGAAGACAGAAACCTGTGGTGACAAGAAGCAACACCGTGCTCTCTGCAGGGGCAGCTCAAGGAAAGGAACTGAGAGGTCACAGAAGAGGCACACCATTTTCAGCGCACCCCAAACCACCAGAGGAAATCCCTTTAGCAGGCTTTTATATACATCCAAAGAGGCACATCGGCAGCGTAACCGTCATCGTGGTGCCTGCGCTTGGCCGAGCGCTGTACCTGGCCAAACAGCAGCAAGGGGCTCACTGAGAGAATCAATACTGTGATGCTGCTGTAAGCACAAGCCCACACAGCCATCCCCAGCAGCTGAACCCTCCTAAAGCAGGTGGTCAGGAGCTTTAAGTGTGGGGTAAAATATTTTGAGAATGTCACAGCAGGAGCTGCTTTCTACTCGCTGCCATTGAACACAGGCAACAGCTCTTCCCATGGAAAGTAATCAAGAGCTGCCAGTACGCAAAAGATTCTGTAACTGCTAATTCCTCAGTATAAACTATGTCACCAATCTATAATTGTCTGCGTTAAAGTAAAGGGGGATTAAGCTACAGAAACTGCCTGAGAACAAGTTCAGGCATGTAAGGCAGTCCAGCTGGACTAAAATTATATTGTACCCAATTCCTTCTGCTACAGTTGTCTGCTTACATTTCCATTTCACATGCACCCAATTTTTAAATGTTTTGTATCTTGGGGCATAGCACAATTAACAATTAAAAACATTGTATTTAAAGTCTAGTTTTCACTCAAAATAATCAGGTCAAATATCTGAGTTATTCTGGAGAAAAGGTGTGTGATTTTTTTTTTTTTTTTTTTTTTTAGTAGCATCAGAGGACAGTTGTGGACACCAGAGATGCAACAGTCTACAACAGTTCACATGTACTAAGATGACATCCACTATGCTTAAAGTTAGCCACAACTGATTAAACAGCGTAAAAACTATTTTCTGCTTCCCAGCCACGGGGTATGAATGACCCTACGCATGCACTGCTCAGCAGCAGCCATAGCTCAGAGATTGCCAGTCTGTTCTGCATTTTGGCAACAGTACGTCAAGAACTACTGGACCTGTTTCTCTGGTCTTTTCTGTCTGTAAGGACAGCAGCTCATCAATTGTTTTCGAGTAAGAATGTCATCGAGTTTAAGTTCTCACCTGCCCTCTTCCCTACTACTAAACTTTATCAAAACACAAAGGATGTTTTAAAC